TTCAATTTCAGTTTTGAAAATTCCCAATTTTCCTAGATTCATACATTGTACATTCCATGTTCTGATTACTAATAGGTGTTTACAGCTGTTTCTCCTCGTTCAGAGTTGTGCCCCATTTTATGTAAATAAAGTCATATATATTCCTTGGTGTTGATCTTCTTTGTTTTGATCTTGATGGTTTTGAGAACAATTTGTGGTTGAGTTACCTTTTATTGCTGGGCTGTACTGTGCTATATAGATGTCATACGGTATTTATTCACACCCTCATTGTGAACAATAGAATTGTTTTCAATGTGGGGATATTGAAAATAAAGCATTCTATGAATTTTTGTGTACAAGTCATTTTGCTGACATGTTTTCATTCTGACAAATACTAGGACTGAAATACCAAACATTCATTGCCTTGAGTCAATTCTGACTATGCTATATGACAGAGTAAAACTGCCTGACAGGGTTTCCAAGATTGTAAATCTTTATGGAAGGTGATGTCACATCTTTCTCTCATATAACAGCTGATGGCTTTGAACTGCTGAACTTTGGCTTTGTAGGTTGAAACTTAAATTCTGTACCACCAGACTTTCTTTTTAGGACTGAAATAGCTACAGTTATACGGTAGGTGCTTGTCTAACTTTTTAAAAAAACAAGTGACTTTTATTTTCAGAGTAATTGTCCCTATTACAACAAGGCTGGACTGCTCAAAACTGCCAGCCTCTCATTGGAGTGGCAATTGACAACAACAGCAGGGAGGTTTTAGATGTGAAAAGACAAAGCATATCCACCCTGTTGGTGAATGTCAAGTGGGGATATTTTTGGGGAACAAGAAAGTAGAAAAAAGGGTGGTAGATAAAAGAGAAATAAACCCTATACAGAATGGGTTAAGGCTTAACAACTATTTAAATTAAATATTACAAACTGTTCATCATTACCAATTTATATTATTTGGAATGTTGATTTTAACTGCACCATTCATTAGTTACAGAGGGTAGACAATATGAAATCTCTTTATCATTCAGTTCTGAAAAATAGAATATATGCAATGGTAAAGTTTACAGATGCTGAAAAAAATCAAAGGAAAAAAACACTAGATTCTCAAGGGAATCAGCATGTTTTAAAATATCTGTGTGATTATAGGTAAGAGAGATTAAAAGTTGGCGATCAGCTGTGATTGCTACTCACAGACTGAAAACACTTGTGGTGAGTTTTCCAATCATTATTAAGGAAGGGGGAAATATTTTTGGAAACTCTGATAAAACCTTATGTTCTTCTAATTGAATTTGAAAAAGCAATAAAGAAGTAAATTTCCCTAAAAATCAGCAGATTAGCTATCTCCAATTTACATAAATGTATTATGATAATGAGTCATTTAAGGAAAATTAGTTATTTGAGGAATTTTAATATGCTATGTCCTGGTGTGGTACTCCAAAAGGTTGGCAGTTCAAAATGACTAGCTAGTCCTCGGAAACCCTATATAATGTTGTTATGCGTTGGAACCAATTCAATGGCACTTAACAACAGCAATGTAAGTATTTGTGAAAACAGCTGTGAAACACTTCTTCAAACAATTCCATATAACACTATAAGCAGTGGAACCTTGTATGGATGTGCTTTCAATATAATTATCAAGTTTCTTCAATGTTCTTGTTTGCTTCCTATTAATATTTGGGGATTTCTTAGATGCTATATAACAGAGTGGATTACAAGTTCTACTAATATTTAGGGATCTTTAGATGCAACATAACAGAGTGGATTAAAAGTCTAACTGTTTGGATCTCAGATCTCAATCATGTTACTTAAGTACTCTGAGTCTCTGAGTCCTATTTGTTCCTATAAAAATGAAAATTAACATCTAAGTGTCAAAATTCTGTGTGGATTAAATCAAATTTATTATTAAATGATGATTTCTAACATTGTGCCTGTATCATAAAATGAACACTCACTTAAAATGTTAGTGTGTTGTTTTTCATTTCTTCCCTGTCTGAACATAATTATTTATGCAATTTGAGAAATTAAAATATTAATGAATCAAAGTGAAAATTAAGGATGGAAACAAATGGTTTATTAATTTACCAAGTCAAGAAAAAAAAGGACAAGAAAGGACATGGAAAGGAAGATAATAAGTTGGAAATGACATAACTTCTCTAACACATTTGCTATGAATTGCATCCTATTTCTTCCCAGTTTCTATTATTTAGTGAGAGTTTTTGGTAGAATTCGATAAAGTAGGTAATTTTTAGATAGACTAATCGTATGCTTCCTTTTTACAGAGTAAGAAAAGGACTTATAAAATTTGGAGCCAGAACAAAATTTTTGAACATTTTTCATTCAATATCCATTTTTATTTTAAATCTGAAACCACTGGCTCATTTCAGACAGAATGCCCAAATGCCAGCCAGGTACAGGTGGGACAGGACAAGCCTAAAGAGTCTGCACTCTCAAAATGATAAGGAATATAGAACATTGTCATTGTGGACTATTTTATGTCTGCTGGCCTTGATGTACCCTGAAACTATGATGTACCCCTAAGTCAAGTGAAAAATATTCTAAAATATTTAGTTATAGTTAAGAAGTTTTCATAAATGTGCCCCCCTAATATTGTTGTTAAGTGCCATTGAATTGGTTTGGACTCATAGAGACCCTGAACATGGTTTCTGAGGAGTGGCTGGTGAGTTTGAACTGCTGACCTTGCAGTTCAAACCGGCATGCCATCCAGTACTTATTCTACATCGCCACATCTATGGTCTACCATTAGTTGTGGTGGTTAAATGCCATTGAGTCAGTTCAGACTTATAGTGAAACTGTATGAGTTTTCCAAGGAGTAGCTGGTGGGTTTGAACGGCCGACCTTGTAGTTCACAGTTCAGTGATGATCCTACAGCCCCACACCAGGAGTTCTTGTTTTATAGTCATAAATGTATTTGCCACCACTCTGAAAGGGATTACAATAGGATGTCCTAAATAGAGGGGGAGAAAAATATGAAACAAAATTAAAACACTAGGTTTAGTTGTAGAAAAGGAGACTGATAGAATCTCTGAGATTAAGCTTCTTGGATACTTTTTAGGACTGAAACTGAGCTTCTTCCCATGGCTCAACTTTCAGCCGAGTGATAAATAAGCCGATAAGCTGAACAGGGTGGTTAGCACTCTCCTTAGAACAATAAATGATTCAAGATCAAAAGGGCAGCATTTGCACAGGGTTAAAGTTTAAAAGACACATGGGCATAGGAAAGAAAGACAAATGGAAACAGTAAACCCAAGATGAATGTGGAAAGATTTCTGTTACATTGAAGGGGTTATGATCCATGTTACAAAACAGAACGTATATGAATTATTGAATAGAAAACCAATTTGTTCTGTAGAGTTTCACCAAAATCAAAATAAAATATATTTTTAAAAATATATGGAATGTGTAGGGAGTGTTTGCCACAAGATTTTGCATTTTCCCAACTATTATTTCTAAGACTATTAATTACTAGGGAAAAAATTGTTAAGATATCCCAGTACATCTTATATATTTTGATGCATATATATGCAGCAGCTTTTTGCAAATGTTGCCTAGAACTCACACAGATGGAGGTAAATATATCAAGCGATCTAAGGTACTAATTGTGAAGCGACTCATCACCCACTGTTACTGAAACGGAGCTCTGTTGCACAGTGTTTATACATGTCGCTACTAATTGAAAGATTCAAACCCATCAGTTGCTATCCAGGATAAAGATGTGGCAGTTGGCTTTCATAAATATTTTAGCCATGGAAACTATATGGGGCAGTTTTACTTTGTCCTATTGTAGTCCTAGTATAGCCCTACAGTTTAATGCACTGGTCCGCAAGGTGGGTTTGAACCACATGGTGAGCAGTTCAAACTTACCATGCTCCTCAGAAACCCTGTACAGGTCCCTATGAGTCATAACCTACTCGATGGTACTTAACAGCAACAACAGTAGGGTCAATATTACACTCTTGGTGTGGTGCATATAGCATAAAAACTTGACAGCTAACCACAAGGAAGGTAGTTTAAACACACAAACTGCTTCTTGAATCCCTATACAGGGTCACTATGATTCAGAACTGACTCAAAAGCACTTCAAAAGAAAAACAATATTGGGTCACTCTGAGTCTTAATTGACTAGAAGGCAGTAAATTTTGTTTTCATTGCCTTAGTGAAGATATCTTGATTAATTTCCTCCCACACAGTCTCAAACACTGGATGATGAACCAAACTTGGATTTCTTCATTCTCAGAAATATGTATCAGTTTACTCCTCATGATATTCTCTTTTGATTTTGCAAATAAAGAGAAGGTGAAAGAAAAGAAGATTTATAGAGAAAGCTAATTTAGATGCCAGCTTACACTGTACAAAAGTATACACTGAATCTGAGTGACATGTAAGTATTTCCTTTGCAAAAGTGTTTTTGCTCTTCATTTCAATTAAATAAGATGCTAATAGAAAGGACAATAATACTATACAATTTGGCCTTTGACCTAAAAGTTACCAGGCTTTTCCTATGACAAAACTGTTACGTAGGAAAGACCTTAGAAATTATACATTCCAACCAGTTAATCCATTTTTAAAATTCACTATCCTGTATTTCCTCTAAACAGTCATTCATAGGCTAAAACAGGGCACTGTACTATAAAGAAATAGAATACATTAAATTTCAGATATATGTATTCCATACCTGATCACTGTTTTTGTTTTGTTTTGCTTTTACTTAAAACAGAACATTACTGGAAATGCAAGTTGGTGTGCTTTTTAGCAAAGCAAATGTAACTATTCTCAGGTGACAGGACCAATTTTCAACCATAACTAATGGTTTACTACTGTAGACTGTGAGCTACATGTTTAGCTCCCAACAACTAGGGAACAGCATGTACATAACTGGGACTTAGGAAACAAATGTTTAAGTAGCAACAATGAATAAAAATTTATTTTAATATTTTTATACCACATTTTTCATATTCTTCTTTCTTCAAGCTGCCTCCACATTACATTTCTTCAAAATGATAGTGGCAAATATAACCTCAATAAGCGGATTCCTCCTCATGGGGTTTTCTGACATTCGGGAGCTACAGATTTTGCATGCTTTGCTCTTCTTGGCAGTGTACCTATTAACCTTAGCAAGTAACCTCATCATTATCATCATCACCACAGTAGACCAGCATCTCCAAGCCCCAATGTATTACTTCTTAAAACATCTTTCCCTCCTGGACATCTGCTCCATTTCTGTCACGGTTCCCCAGTCCATTGACAATTCTCTAAAGGATGATGGCTATATGTCTCAAGGTCAATGCATACTCCAGGTTTTCTTCTTCACAGCTCTGGCTTGGGCTGAAATGGCCATCCTCACAGTGATGTCATATGACCGCTATGCCGCCATCTGCTTCCCACTGCACTATGAGGTCATCATGAATCCTAGTAAGTGTCAGGGGGCTCTGATAGCTGTATGGCTAAGTGGATGCATCTCTGGAATCGTGTTCACAATAGCCACATTCTCCATCACATTCTGTAAGGAAAAAATAATTCACCAATTCTTCTGTGATATCCCCCAGTTGCTAAAACTCTCCTGCTCTAATGATTACCTTGGAGTGATTGGAGTGACAACTTTTATGTCTGTGATGGCATTCATGTGCTTAACCTCCATTATCCTCTCCTATATCCACATCTTCTCCACAGTACTCAGAATACCCTCTGCTGAGGGCAGATCCAAGGCCTTCTCTACCAGCCTGCCCCACCTCTTTGTTGTCTCATTTTATCTCTCCATAGGTACCTTTGCATTTCTAAAACCAACTTCAGATTCTCCAACCACTTTTGATCTTATGATTTCTATCTTTTATACAGTCATGCCTCCAATACTCAACCCTATTATCTATGGTCTGAGGAATGAAGCCATGAAGGCAGCTTGCAGAAAGTTACTATTGGGTGGACAATTCACCAAGAAAAAAATCATACTTATCCTGTTGTTCATGGCTGAATAATACTTTATATAAGGAAGATGTTAAATTATATTGAATTCCTTCTATATGTGATGATAACAAAACCAATGATATTTGCGCCCCTCTGCAGATTAAGGATACAATGTAAACACTGTCGTTAAGGAAACTCTTCACATAATCCCTACATGTTTTCATTTAGTAGTTAAAACCATTTATTCATTTTTTCAAATAAAGAGAAAATAAACAAGTGTATCATTTTATCATAGGCCCCCTTGTCTCCTTTCATAGTGCTATACCAATGGACTGCTAATCACAAGGTCAGAAGTTCAAACACGACAGTTGTTCTTTGGGAGAAAGATGATGTTTTCTGCTCCAGTAAAAGATTTACAGACACAGACATCCTATTTAGGGACATAGCAAAAACAACTCTCCTTTCCTTAGCAATATACATGGACACAGACACAAATGTGTACACACCAACAATTATAAGCACACTTTTTTTTTTTCTTTAAACAGACAGAATTACAATAAAGAAAGAATAAAATAACGGTGATTTTCCCAAACCCCAACAAGTAAGCAAATAATTTATACTTAATTTCAAACATCGAATTTAGTTTTGATTTATTTACATACCAATTTTACATATTTGTTCAAGGAACCTTGGTGGTACAATAGTGGGGAACTTGGCTGCTACCCAAAAGGTTGGCAGTGTGAACACATTCAGTAACTTCAGGAGAAAAGACCTGGCATTCTGCTTCCAGAAAGCTTCCAGCATAGAAAACCCTATGGGGCAGTTCTGCTCTGTCACATGGGTCCCTATAAGTAGAGACGTGATTCAATTGCAGTCAAAAACAATGTACTGTTATATAGTTTTATGTTTATAATACTCATGGAGTCATGGCATTAATGGAATTCATATCATAAGACAGCAGAACCAACCTGGAACCTGTCAAATATTTTCCACTGAAACGAGAAAAGAAAATGTACTTCATCAAAGGTAGAAAACTTGCAAGACCTGGGAAAAAAAATAAGACAGTCTAGTTGACTTCCTCTCTTAGATGTTTCACTGTATATACTCAACTATACATCTATTTGATAATATAGGTTATTTCCAAATTTTAATCTTATATATAATGCTGAATATGATAATTCTACTATTCATAATTCCAAAGAATAGGGTTGCTAAATCAAAGTTCATAAAAACTTCGGATCTGTTGAGCAT